ATCCCCAAATTCGTATCATATATCCATCCTCGTCCCCATATTTAACGAGTGTAGAATTCGTATCTCATCTTCATCTTCGTCAGATATTGGATATCGTATTTGTCCAAAAATTAATTAATTTTTTTATAAAAAATATATAAAAATAATAATAATAATTCCAACTTAGAGTAACAATTACAAAATTATATTAAATAAGTTTTATCTAACATAAATTTATAATAGAGTTGGAATTATATAAATCTCAAATAAATTCTAAAAAAGGTAAATTAAATTTCTACAAATTTAAAGTAAGGATAGGGATGGGGTCATACGAAGTGGGTAAGTACCTATACCCATGCACAACTTACTAAATCGATATTACTCATACTCGTGTTCAATCAAACATGATATTCTTAACAAAGGCGGAACAAGTTTGGACATTATTCACATGTATAAGTTTATTTGTCATCACTAACTAATAGAAACTAAAACCAAATAACTTAGCTCTCTTTATTTTCAAAGGCCATTTTTATTTTATTTTATTTTTAACCATTAGTCATGAAATCCAATTAACTTAACTTTTAACTTTAAAAATACTCTAATTAAATAATTTCTTATATTTGTTTTATCTTTTGAAAACCGGAGTATTACACAAATAAATAAAATATAGTGGTAGACATAACCTATTGCAACAAGTTGCACATCAGAATGGTGGAACACAAATCTGTCATGATTAAATCTAAAATAAAAACTTTTAAATTGCTTTTGATTTACATTAGAAAACCTTCTCACAAAAATCACCATGTACATAGATGATTGTATCTAAATGCTTCATCAGAATACTGCTCAAAAATGGTTGCTTAGAAAAGTATTGTAATAATTGTAAAGTTAAAAATATTGTCTTCTTGTCCTCTAAGAATATTTGTAAGCTTAATTTGTTGAAAAAAAATATCATGTAATTCATATAATAATTATGATTGGTTTAATTATTTTATTAATTTAATTATTATTTTTAATAATATAAAGTTATTATAAAATAATAGTCGATTATTTTGAATCATAATAAACATATTTTATTAGTTCTTAATAAAATAATTAATAAAGGATTATTATAATAATATGCATGTGGTGTTTCATTATCTAATGAATTTAAAAAATGACTAAAACTAGAATAACCTCTATTTCTCTAAATATCTAAATACTTTGTTATATATTTAGTATTTTTAATAATAATGACTATAAGTGATACATTTCCATTATTATAAGTTACAACTTAAAGTTATATTTTTTTTTTCTTCTTATATTGATATTTTTCTTACATAATTGTGAAAGGTGAGAAAAACAACCTTATGTGTAAGCATTAGATGTAATTCAAGGAGATTTTAAGGGAATTAGAATAAATTCCCTATATGTATTTTGTTTCCTCTCTATTTAAATTCAATAATTTAACCATCATACACATTAAAAAAGCGCATTAAAAAGATTGACATGAGATTATTCCAATCTAATTAGAGATCTTGAGTGTAAATAATAGTTATGTAGTTGTCTTAAATATTTTAAAAGATAACTATGTCATTTATAATAATTTTATTTAATTCAAACAAAATTATCTTTTATATTACCTGTAGTTTCTAAAAAAAAATAGTCTACTAAATATAAAAACATTTTTCATAGTTTAACTTTGAATTTTAAACTAAATAAATTCTTTAAAATTCTTTAACTCAATTTATTTAATAAATATTACATATGCAAATTAAGGTAATATTGTTTCAACTTAATAGTTTTTAGTTTGAGTTTTAAATAAACAAATTATATACAAAAAAATTTATTATCTTTAAAGTTTAATGAAGTTTTTTCAACTGAACTGGATTGTCCTCTATACATGTTCTACAAAATTAAGAAAAATATTTGACAAATGAATCTAATATGAATATAAGAGGAGTATAGTGTGAATTAAGTCATGATTCATGAACCCTCTCCCAACAAGTACGTTTTTCCGTGCTCTAATCCAACGAGAGGGTACTTTTGTAATTAAACACTTCGGGTTGAGGACAGAAATGTCAATCCAATAATTCCATGGCAATTGCGTAAATACTCACAAGTTGGGTGAAACCCAACTAACTATGGTTCTCCTTTCTTCTTCTTCGATTGATTCGTTGAAATATTTGGGCTAGCTTCGTTGCTTTCTCCGCCACCTCTCCTCCGATCAATCTCCGGCGAACCACCGATCATTCTCCGGTAAGCTTTTCCGACAGCCTCTATCTCCTTTTCATGTCCATTCATCTCCCTAATTATCTATTTCGTCAAATTGCTAGTTATTTTCTGAGATTCGATTTATCTGCAAAATTTTGAAAACATAAATATACATAGGAATTGTGGAATAGAATATACAAAAGTTTATAAATGTGTGTGTTTGAAATTAACGTGTGAGTAATTGAGGTCGTTGTTTACAATTTTTGTATTGGATCTGATTGATTGGAATTGAGAAGGTAGGGCAGAGAAATTAGGAACAATGAGTGAGGTATTTGAAGGGTACGAGCGTCAATACTGTGAGCTATCAGCGAATCTTTCGCGGCATTGCACTGCGGCTTCTGCTCTTGATGGAGGTAATGCAATCTCTTTCTTCCAGGGCTGCCATATTCGACATAAGTGATACGTGTTAACTGTCTTACTCATCCCACACCATGCTAGGGTCACGCCCTCCCTGTAGCATCACTTACCCAGGGGCCGTGCCATCCCTAGTCATTGATGTGAGGAACCACAATCACAATTATATTCACATCCATACAACATCTCATCTCATAACTCAATTCCATACACACATCAAATAGATCCAAAATAATGGGTTTCATACATATCAATCAATTCACATTTTAAATCATCAATTTTGATCAAATAATATAATAATGATATTCATAAATTAATATAATAATCAATAGAATTAACAATTTAATATAATTTCAACATAAATAGTAAAATCCCTAATTGTTCCAAAACCTAGCTCACAGGCACTTTTCTACAATTTCATTCTCTCTCCCAGATCATCATTCTTACAAATTATTAGCATATTTATAATCCTCAACACATACAGAATCTAATGGTATAATTAATTCCTCAAACAGAAATAATCCAATTTTCCCAAAACCTAACCTACAGGCACTTTTCTATAATTTCGTTCTCTCTCCTAGATCATCATTCTTACAAATTAATCATATATTTGTTGTCCTAAATCTATACAGAATCATATGTGACCAATAATTCTTCAAACAGAAATAATTATAAAATTTCTCATAATCCTAAGGGTTCTTCCTCTACCCAATTCCCTCATGTAACTCTACATATAAATGATCCTCTTTTCCCCCGTACCTGGATAAACAGCAGTTGAAACTACAACAGGAATCTCTTGGTCTCCTCCTCTAAGTGCCCCATGGTCTTCAGAGAGATGAAGAGGGGAAGAAAAAAGAATAGAAGAGAATATAGGAATCTGCCTCAGCTAATCCGGAACGGCCCGTTTCACTTTCGAAACGGCCCGTTCCAGGCAACGAATTGGGCCCACGGCCCAGTAAAAATTTGGGCTGTTACAAAGGTTGAAGAGAAGAGGTTGTTTGCAGAGTGAAGAAGAAGAAGAAGAAGAAGAAGATGATGATGATGATGAATACATGAAGACGATGAAGAATATGAAGAATATGAAGATGAAGATAAAGAAGATGAGCTGTCAGGTTTGGATATATCGGATGAGAAAATTCTAAACATCGAGCTCGACCGTTTAAACCTATTTGAACTCGAAATTTACACTCGAAAAAATCCAAAATCCATGAGAAATAATCGCTTCATCAAATTTGAACGTTAGTCTGGTCAGTTTCAGATCGGCCAAAATTTTTTGCTCAGGCCTAATTAAAATTATGGATTGATCATATGATTCTAATGTCCTAAACTTTGTGCTCAGCCAATGGTTTCGCATTGCTCAATTACATACATACAATTAGATGGTACAGAGCACAAAGTACATCCAATCTACTATGAGACATTTTCCTTTTATTTCTCTTTATTTCAACGTGATAAATTTTTCTTACTAATTTATCTCAACTAAATAATTTCAATTTTCTCACCTTAATTTTTTACCTATTTCATCACCAAGTGTTAATTAAGAACAATGTGTTCACATTGAAAATTTTCATGTTTACTATAAAAAAAAAAATCAAAATTCAAACGTGATTTACTATTTGCAAAGACCCAAAAAGAAAGGTCTTGAGTTGTTGAAGGCATAGATTGATAAATCCAAATTCCACATGATACAACGTTACTGTGGCCAACATTTTAATTCGAAAAGAAGGTTTTATAGATAAATTATTGCAAGTCCCATT